ATGATGATGACAAGATGAGCAAGATGATGATGATGAATAATTGTTAAATATTTTACTAACATTAGTATCGATATCGATAACTTACCTTCAGATATATTGCGCATCCCTCGACCACTGGCATGCACCCTCTATACATGAACAGCACTCGCTACAATTGTATTAGACATTAGCAATGTTAAGGTGTTTTTATTGTGCCATCTCTCGGTGCGTTTTTGATAACACCATAGTTCTTAGAAATGGCTATGCATACGGCACGCTATGGATGTCACAGTGATCAATCATGTTCGTGTCAATAGTGACAATGGGGTCGGTTCTGAGACACCATTTTACTAAACCTAAACTTATCGTTTGTTAATATTAAAATTACTCTTTTATTATATTTTTTAACTAAATTAATAATAATCTTGACGTGAATCTATTAATAATTTGTTAGATTTCACTGTTGTACCAGAGGGAGACTTTGTACAAAAGTCGATTGCCTGGGTACCTATATATTATATTGTCCCATTCGTGTTTCAACCGTGAAGCAGTTGTGTTTGCATGGCTGTGTTTCGGTTTAAAAGGTGGGATATGGCGTGAATTTACAGGGTACAGAGGAATAACACCTGAGTCCTCAGGAATGGCAACGTATGAGGGGTATCATGGGCGAAACAGTATACTCTGTTATGTCCATGGTACTGCTCATGTCTATAGGCGACGGTTACCACTTTCCATCAGGTGTGTCGTCAGCTTGTTTGCAATTCTATGTTGAAAAAAAAATTTTATTTTTAAAAAAAATAAATACAGTCACTATTACGGAGTGGTAGACTGTGACAAGATGGTAAACGATGTAGACACGAATTTTAGCAGAAAAAAAATGAATTATTATCGACCAAGCTAGCGAGGAACGGACAGTATAGAAAATACAAAATTATAAGTATAAATAGGAACATTCTAAAAGTAAATATGTATAAAAAAGTATAATAACGTCTAAAGAGTTTGCATCGGCCAGTCGTCAATAGTCATGGAATTTACAAAATTACTTTTTTTTTATACAACTTAGAAGAGCAAACAAGCTGACGGCCCACCTGATGGAAAGTGGTAACCGTCGCCTATAGACATGAGCAGTACCATGGACATAACAGAGAATACTGTTTCGCCCATCATACCCCCATGCGTTGCCGTTCCTGAGGACTCCGGTGTTATTCCTCTGTACCCAGTAAATTCGCTGCCATTACCCACCCTTCAAACCGAAACACAGCCATGCAAACACAACTGCTTCACGGTAGAAACACGAATGGGACAGAGGTACGCAGAGGTACCCGGTTACTGTAGCCTATGGACGTTTTTGTATTTGTATTACACTATGTTCATACAATATGAAGAACGATTTTTTTTATTTATTTAATTTGTGGTGTAGGCCCCTTTGATGACTCCTAGGCCCTCACCAACTCTGTATTTATCCGAGGTTCACTAATGTTTGTTGATGGTGGGTATACAGTAAAAAATGAACTTACGCATACACGGAGCGAATGCAGTTTTTAGACAATAAAATGATTTATTTGCGTAGCCCACAAGCACATAAACAATGACAATACAATATAGGTGAGATTATACAAATAATAATTTAAATATAGGCAAACACAGTGCATACGTAATACGCGCATTGGAGAGTACCCGCAAAGTTAGCCGCGCTGCCAAAACGTTGCGGCCGCAGTCGGCCGCTATCTTCATGCACTTCGCTTACAGTGTTGCCGCAATGTTTATAAGCGGAGCGGAATTAATGAATTATTAGAATGTTTATATTATTTTTAGTTTATATTATTTTTAGTTTATATTATTTTTAGTTTATATTATTTTTAGTTAATACTATTTTTAGTTTCAATTATTCTCCGCTACATCTTCCCCCCGACCAGACCGTGACTACGGTCGATAAAAATCAGGAAATTGTACTCTTCTGCCACTTCTTGTTCTCTTTTCTTCTACGAAAGTTTTGGTCGCAGATGGAAGAGGTGATGACTGCGTAGGTGGAAGTTCTTTAATTTGAGGTTCCTTCATTATGTAAGCTGGCTTTAGTCTGTCTATAGTGACATTGGTTTTCTTGCCTTGGAGGTCTAAGGTAAAGTACTTGGGTTGCCTGTTAAGAACTTTAAAAGGGCCAACATATGGTGCTTCCAAGGAACTACGAACTCGATCTTGCCGCAGGAACACGTGAGATGAAGTAGATAAATCTCGTGGTATGTAAAATGGCGATGATGTAGATGTGTGCCATGAAGTCGGTCGTGGTGTTAACTTGGTCATTTGAGAACAAAGACGGTTAGCGTACTCGGTGACATCGGATGTTGTGTAGTCATCTTTGGGAGACAAAAACTGACCTGGCAAATGGATTGGTTCACCATAGACCAGTTCTGCAGGAGATGTTTGAAGGTCTTCTTTATAAGAACTGCGCATCCCGAGAAGTACCAGAGGTAAGGATTCAGTCCAATGTGATGATGTATGGCACATTATCGCCGCCTTCAACTGACGATGAAGTCGCTCGACGATTCCATTGGCTGCAGGATGGTAGGCGGTGGTACGAAAGTGATGAGCACCAATCAAGGCAGTGAGAGCTTTAAAGAGGTTGCTCTCAAATTGACGACCTCGATCTGTAGTCACACGAGCAGGACAGCCAAACCGCGATATCCAGCCAGATACTAGGGCTGTCGCGCAGGTTTCTGCAGTGATGTCCTTCAAGGGGAATGCCTCAGGCCACCGGGTGAAGCGGTCGATGACGGTGAGACAATACCTGTAATCACACGAAGGAGGTAATGGACCTATAAGGTCAAGGTGGATGTGTGAAAAACGAGAGGAAGGAGTGAGGAATGTGGCAGGAGGGGATTTGGTATGTCGGGTAATCTTGCTTTTCTGGCATTGCAAGCATTGCCTAGCCCACTCTCTACATTCTTTACGAATCCCTGGCCACACAAATCTTTGAGTAACCAACCGTACTGTAGCTGAACCTCCAGGATGATGTAAATTGTGGATCATGTCAAAAACTTGTTTTCGCAGCTGTGGAGTAACATAAGGCCTAAGATTCTGCATAGATGTGTCACAGTAGATGGGTAAGTGACAGTAATCAGTACTAATCTTCTTGAGTTCTAGAGAAGTACCATGGTTTAACAAGTCTTGCAGTTCTGGATCATTCTCCTGAAATTTTGCAAGGTCCTGATAATTGATGAGTGCTGAGATTTCGTCAGTACGAGATAGTGCGTCTGCTACGACATTTTTGTGTCCAGGTAAGAATCTCAAGTCTGTAGTAAATTGTGATATGAAATCAAGATATCGGAACTGTCTGGGGCTGCATTTCTCTTTATTATTGACGAATGCAAATATGAGTGGCTTATGATCGGTATAGATAGCGAACGTTCTGGCTTCGATCATATGCCGAAAGTATTTAATCGCTTCGTAAACTGCCAAGAGTTCTCTATCATACGGGCTGTACTTTCTTTGAGATGTAGTGAGCTTGTGGGAATAGAATGCCAAAGGTTGCCAATTATGATCTATCCGTTGTTGGAGAACAGCTCCTATCGCTAAGTCTGAGGCATCAGTGACGATTGCTAATTCGGCAGATGGATGGGGATGGGCAAGTAAGGTTGCATCTGAAAGCGATCTTTTGCAATCATTGAAGGCTTGTAGGGCATCTGCTGTCAGCTCAATTGGATGAGAGCCTTTGATCTTTGGACCAGCGAGCAAATCATGCAATGGCGCTTGGAATTTAGCTGCCTTAGGGATGAACCGGCGGTAGAAGTTGAGCATTCCTAAAAAACGTCGGAGTTCTTTGACGGTCTTGGGTGCAGAGTAGTCCTGGATAGCTTTTATTTTACTCTCCAAAGGCGTTGTTCCAGCAGCGGATACGTTATACCCTAGAAAAGTGACACTTCCTTGTCCAAGCGAGCATTTCGAGGTATTCACAAGTATGCCAAACTTCTTAAGACGGTCAAATAGCTGATGTAGATGACTCTCATGTTCTTCTTTGCTTCTCGAAAATACTAGAATGTCATCAATGTAGCCATAGCAAAAGTCTAGACCTAAAAGGACTTCGTCAATGAACCTTTGGAACGTCTGAGCAGCGTTTCTAAGTCCAAAGGTCATGTATGGGAATTCATACATTCCAAAAGGTGTTGTAATAGCTGTTTTAGGGATGTCATCAGGATTCATTGCTATTTGATTATAAGCTTTCACGAGGTCTATCGTTGAAAAGACTGAACAACCTGAAAGCTGATAGGAGAAATCGTGAATATGGCGTATAGGATACCGGTCTGGTATAGTTCTAGCATTCAGTGCACGGTAATCACCACACGGACGCCATCCTTCGTCCTTCTTTTTAACTAGGTGAAGAGCAGAAGACCATGGACTTTCTGAACGTCTGGCAATACCACTAGCCAGCATATCTGCAAACTCTTTCTTGGCTGCTTGTAACCGAACTGGATCAAGGCGACGAGGCTTGCAAGATACTGGTTGTCCGGGCGTTGTGCGAATATAGTGGAGCGTTTTGTGTTTAGGTGGTGAAAATACACCTGCAGGACGAGTTATCTCCGGATATTCTCGAAGGATATGATGGTAATCAGATTGACCTGTAATGGATTTTATAGATGTGACGTCTTCTGTTATCTTAATGGCGATTGCGTTTACTGACATGGATGTCAAACCATCTATCAGTCGTTGTCCTCTACAGTCCACCAATAAGTTGTAAAAGGAGAGGAAATCCACACCAATGATTGGTTTTGTGACATCTGCAATGGTGAAGCTCCAAATGAAATCTCGTCGAAGGCCGAAATCTAAACGTAATTGTACTGGACCAAATGTATGTATAACAGAATTGTTGGCAGCTACTAGATCATATTTAGACTGAGTACAGGGCGTCTTAATGGCTGACCGTGGGAAAACGCACAGATCAGAACCAGTGTCCACTAGGAACGGCATTTTAGATGCGCGATCAGTTACGAATAGACGGCCTGTTGATGTGGGGCAGTCGTTGGCCGCTACTTGCGACCGCCCTGAGAGTTTTCCGTCGGAAATTCACATGGCTGTTTACACTTCCTTGCTTTAGCACCGTAGGTAAAGTAAAAACAATGAGAATGACCTGTTGGTGGTTGACGTGGTCGAGAACGGCTGCGGGAATGAGATCGGTTGTTTCGTCTATATTGTGGTCGTGCAGGTCTTCTGGTATTTGATACCTGGGATGTAAGTAAGGCTACCTGTTTCGTAAGCTCACTGACTTGTCTGGCTAAGTTACTATAGGAAGATTCCGAGTCTGATGCTGTTGAGGTACTTGCCACCTGTGGAGTAGAAGGGGCTATCTCATGCACCTTGTCAGCTAGGTCTGCCAGTTTCTCTATAGGTAAATCATCCTGTGAAGCAATAACAGTTTGTATATTTGGTGGTAAACGACTGGACCAAATGGTTTTCAAAAAATCCATAGGTACTGATGGACCAGCCAAACTCTGCATATGACGTAAGAATTGCGATGGTTTACGATCGCCGAGTTCCTCATGTATGAGTAATTGCTTTACGCGTTTTTCTTGAGAGGCTGAAAGACGTTTGATGAGCTCAGATTTAAGTTTGTCATATTTATTAGTGGAGGGTGGATTGGTAATTATATCCTTCACCTCAGCAGCGTACTGGTGATCTAATTGTGCTACTAAATAACAAAATTTGGTCTCATCTGTCGTTATTTTTGAGAGTGTAAATTGACTTTCCACCTGGGCGAACCATAAACTTGGTTCCTCTGGCCAAAATGGTGGTATTCTTACACCCACTCGCAGCACTTCAGAAGGGATGTTTCCTTTCACATCCGAAAATTCATCACGCTCAGACATGTTAAAAAAAAAAAAAATATTATTAATCGCTCACCGCTTATGATTTGCGCCAGGTTCTTATAAGTTGGACTTTGTACCTGCGTCAACAACTGTTGAATTTGAAAATTTAAAAAATAATATTTCGCTGAATATGATACACGGGGTCACCACTGTGGTGTAGGCCCCTTTGATGACTCCTAGGCCCTCACCAACTCTGTATTTATCCGAGGTTCACTAATGTTTGTTGATGGTGGGTATACAGTAAAAAATGAACTTACGCATACACGGAGCGAATGCAGTTTTTAGACAATAAAATGATTTATTTGCGTAGCCCACAAGCACATAAACAATGACAATACAATATAGGTGAGATTATACAAATAATAATTTAAATATAGGCAAACACAGTGCATACGTAATACGCGCATTGGAGAGTACCCGCAAAGTTAGCCGCGCTGCCAAAACGTTGCGGCCGCAGTCGGCCGCTATCTTCATGCACTTCGCTTACAGTGTTGCCGCAATGTTTATAAGCGGAGCGGAATTAATGAATTATTAGAATGTTTATATTATTTTTAGTTTATATTATTTTTAGTTTATATTATTTTTAGTTAATACTATTTTTAGTTTCAATTATTCTCCGCTACAAATTATATAAAATTTTAGACTGAAATGTATTTAATATAATAATCAAGTTAATCATGTTATTTATCACAAGTCACTAGAAACAATATGTTGAACTCGTTTCAGTAAGAATAGGTATGTATCTTCATCGATCGACGACCGACGACTTCAGACAGAAAGCAAGTTCATCACCCTCGACCCTATTATTTTTAATAAATAACGAGAGAATACTTACGTCCAATGATTGCGTCGCTTTGTATGCTATACTATAATGACCCAAGTCACGGAATACAGGCATCAGCTTGATTGCAGTTGTATTGCAATTAGATTGGGTTTCCATCTACAAATAAACCCAGTAATTATTGGATTGAATTATTTTGGAGGCATAATAATCGATTTTAAATGCCTATTCATGATAAAGTAAAATATTGTCTCTTAAAAGTACAATTCTGTAAACAGGAAATTCAAACAAAAATAAATCATGCTATACATACGCGCTGCGCCGCGCAAAGCAAGCTAGTCACTACTCGAGCAAGAAACTACTATGGCGAGCGAACGAGCGCCTACCTCAATACCGCGATTAGTAAATTCTCTATCTACCGACTTGTGAAACAATATCACTGTTAAAAACATAAAGTTTAAACTGAAAGCTTATTTACTGTCCAACCTTGCTGAAACAGCAGAATATTAATGTAAATGTTGACATTTGAGAACGAAATGTAAAGTATCACGCACAAGCACAAGAGGTTTAAGTGGTACTGAAAATTCAGTTTTTTTTTTAATGTATTTATGCATGCTAATTAAATATAAAAAAATATATATTATGTCTGGATAAGTGGCAGTCCTCCACCGTGCGTTTTTCAAGGCACTTTCTTCTATACACAACCTCTGGAATCAAAATCCAGCAGCAGTATTTTCAAACTGGTACGATATCACAACCTTCAAAAGTATATTCCTTTTTAAAATGCCGGCAGCACACCTGCAATGACTTTGGTGTTGCGTGTGATCATGGGCAGCGGTAGTCACTTACCATCAGGTGAACCGCATGCTCGTTTCCTCCCTGTGTTGTAAAAAAAATTTTATATAAAAGCTAAAACTATTAACAAAATACGTACGTTAATAGCCTATGCAGGAATTCATACAGAAATTCATTCTACTAATTTCTACCTATACTTTAGAAGAAACTATCTTTCAAGACACAGATTATCCTAAGTTTGTTTTTGTTTTATATATTTTGCTTTTTGTATTTTTTTTTTTGTTGCTTTGTTTTGTTTTTCTTTTATCTCTTTTACTTTGTATTATGTGTATGTTTGTATTGTAATTTGTGTGCTGTAAGTAATGCAAATAAATTATCTATTTATCTATCTAATTTAAAAACCAGGGCAACAATTATATGTAACAATGCAACTCTGTATTTGTTAAGTAAGATTTACTATCATATCAAGTTTTATACTATTTTTTGTGTAAACAATTAATTATTTATTTATTTTATTTAATCTTTAATGTACAATTATGTAATATAAGCAAATGTACATATTGTATAATAATGGGTGAATTTAAAATGTAATATGCAACAAATGGACTTATAATTAAAAAAACAATATTAAGTATTAATTTATATTTGATTTTTTTTTCTGTTGGAAAGGACTTCATTTTCGTGAAATTGATTATATATGTAGGTATCAGGAAGGTGTAAACTAACTTATTATATATATATATATATATATATATATATATATATATATATATATATATATATATATATATATATATATATATAAGTAGAAGTATATATATATAAGTTTATAGAACTGGCCTGCATACATAAGATGGGTTAGGTCATTTGAGGTCATTGGCACTTAGACCTCCCTGTCTAGCTCGCTACTCTAGTGGGTAGTAA